TGTGTAGAACTCTATCATTGGCAAACACTGATGCGGATCACCGATACCTGAAATACAGAATTCCATGCCAAAATTTGATGTGGACTTTAAAAGTAAGAATGATACCATCCAGTGGGCCATTTTTCTATGGACGATGAGGGGCACATAGTCTGTAAATAGCGATACACCGATCACTTGCACCGGAGTCTTATTAGGGAGATGGATAGATTGTAGGCTAAACAGGTACTTATTTTGCGTGGGTAGAGGCACGCATGGCCTGTCTTATCAATGACTTCTCTAGCTTGTGTGAATATTATGCTAAATAATATTTAATACTAGCAGCATGGCCCGGCGTTGCCCGTGCTTGATTCAAAAATCGTACGACACATACAGCAATTGCTATCACTTGACTTAAAATATTTTTGCCTTTCCTTGCCTTTAAAGGAGTGCCCTTTGCCGTGCTGATGTAGCTACATGCCTTACTTCTTGCTTATCTCACATTGCGAATTTTTTCTAAGCTCTAAACTAAACATTAAATCTGTTACGAAAAAAAAATAAATAAACAAAATGAACACAAAACGATCAACTTTAAAAAAGGACTCGTAACTGGAAAAACGGAATGAAAAAAGAATGTTAAAAACAAATACTTTTTCACACGCAACCCAGTTCTGCGGAATCAGAATCAACATTGAGTTTAAGCAAGCGAATGAGCTAATTGGAGTAAAGTGCCATGCAGATTTAAATTTTTCCCAATTGTGACGAATGCAACATTTTTTTTTTGCATGCTAGCATGCTAGTTAACATTCGTGTCATTCAGCTGTTGGCTCTCACGGTGGCTAATAGAATCTTCCTGCCTATTCGTGGTAGCCAGCAATAGGCTTACAATCTGACCAGTAGAAAATGGCCGCAAACTACATGAAAACTGCCGTAGAAGCATGAACAAATCGATTATTTCCATATCGATGGGAGTTTGGAAATGCAAAGTCGGTCTTGGCCTTCCCGCTAACTTGGAGCATGTGCATATAAATTTTGGTGCAAATTCTTCGAAAATTGCGGCCGGGCATGCGTTACACACACACACACACACACACACACACACACACACACACACACACACACACACACACACACACATCGTGCCTTTTATAGATAGGGATAACTGTAGAAATCACATAAGCTTACTTCAGATACATTTTTTTATTGCGAAATTTATCAGGAAGTCATTTCTGACTTACCTAATGTAAATTTGATTTTCCCCAGGAGAAATTTTGGTGGGTAGCCAAATTTTTCCAACATTATCCAGACATTTAACCTACTTACCCGATTACACACCATTTTCGGGTCGGTAAAATGTTATGTACAACGATTTGATTTGTTCGCGGCAATACTCGTATAAAAATCCGCGTTGGTGAAGCAACGATTTTCTTTGAAAATATATAGCGATACTTATCAGAGGTTTCATGCCTTCTTGAAATAAATCCATTTTGTCCATATTTAATATGACTTGTTCAATCTTAGGCCAATGTTAGTGATCCCAAATATTTGTTCTTTTCTTTCATATATTATTCTTCTATTATATTGCGAGTTAGAACATGGGTGATCATTGCTTTACGCGACTTTCAATTCTTTGTGATTTCTTATCTTGTGATTTTTTCTTTTAGTATGCATCCCACTCACTGATGCGATTAAAGAACGTAACTCGTCAGAAAATATGCCGTGAAAATAATCATAGATCAGCGAGATGCTCGGGGGTGGGGATAATTTCTCCTTTTCTTTTGATATTGTTTCTTAATATTAGAGAAGAATAAGATCTTATCTTTAGTGAGAGGACTTGCTTTACATTGAGTAGATGATGGTGCGAAATGCCCAAACAAGTCAAGGAATTTATGGTTTTTCTCGTAAATACAAAGTTAAAAGTAAATAGGATTATTTTTAATTCAGAAAATTACAGACAGCTGACAAGGTAAGCGTGTTAAAATCACGAAGACATTGCCTCGACTTGTAAACTATCTAATTGAACTTTGGAGGACAGATCTCCTCTTTCAATGTTTGACGATGCAATGTTCCAGAGATTTTCCCTGATGGTATGCTTCATGTGTTGCGTGAAACAATACCATTTTTAAAAATGGCGATATTCTGTGCTGCTGGCAGATTAAATCATCATGTGGAGTTTGTTTATATGGTAAAGATTTTTTTTTATTGCTAAAGATCCTATTATCTAGATCCCGTTAATTCATGATTATTTTAATCTATTGATGCACTCCCTGTACCAGCAACAAAAATAGTTTATTCCAACAGGATAACTACATTTTGTTACCGGTCACAATTTGCCTGGAACTGGTTTAACGATCAGTGGAAGACTTCAGACGAATAGTGCAGTCACTATCTTTACTAGAGATACTCTCACTCATGTTGTTGCGTAACATGGTGCAAAAATCTAATCGCATCACCGATAAAAATCAGGAAGCTCTGAAAAGTTATCAAAACGGCATGGTTCAATATTTCTCCAAAGTTCTTCAGACTACTTTTGGAATCTATATCACGTTGCAGGGTTGCAGAGAGCCGGAACAGTGCCACCCTTTCCATGACATTTGGCACGTTAATATATCTTAACCAATTCTAGTGAGTAATATATAGCATCGTTTTACAAGACACTGCTGTTTTACACAGGGAAATATAGTTTGGAACAATTATGTCATAACTTCAATGTCAAAATTTCTATGTTAATATTCCTTCCTTGGAAACAAGGAAATGCTTTTCGATTAAAACGTCATCAAAATCATCAGTAATTTCATAATAGTGAACAGTTATTATTTTTTCGTTTCCTTCCAATTCTTTAGAGCGACCATTTTGGTGACTGGTAATAATTTAAATCAACGTAGTTTAATTGTTGCTTTTTTTTCCAAGGCCGTACCAGCAAATTACTTCGAAAACTACAAAAGGATGAAAGAATTTAGTAAATTTCTGGGAGATAAGGAGTGCCTAATCTAGCTACTTTTGACTCAGTGGTCAGTGGCCTAGATTGAAATATAGCATTTCATTCAGGTGAACCTAGTTCGAATTTCAATTTGGTCAATTTATCAGTGAAGTGAATTCTAGATAATATCGGTTGTTGACGTGAGAATTATTTGAAAACGATTCGACAGTTTGATCCAAACCTTGTAGATGAAATTATATGGACAAAAGCCTTTTGGAAATGGTCGATGGACCAAAGTAAATCACGCTAGATTATGCTGTCTCTCTAAGTTTTGCTTCTGAGTGTTTTAAATTTAGTACAAATATCCCTGGGCAGTTGTCTTAAAAAAAAAAAAAAAAAGATTTGTCGTTCAACTTAGCAGACGGGTTCACTTTGAAAAGAGAAGTCTGTCAATATTTTAGCTAATAGAAGCAATTTATTCAAACATAACTGAAATCAAGCGACATGGAATACACGGAATTAGGAAGAAGCCATTACTTTACATTTTATTTCACAAATTCAATTCTTCCCCACTTATCCTTTTAAAATATATTTATACTTACTTTCACAAATTTTACTTATAATCTCTGATTGCGTTTACCTATTTTGAATACATTCTCTTTTATCCGTATTGATGTCCCTTTTTTTTTCTTTTTATTTCATTCACCCTAAAGTGATAATGCCACTAAGACGCATGAGTTTCCTTGTGCGAAAGACAATGAGTAGACTTTAGTCAGGAGAAAGAACAATACAAGAAAATGGTTCAGGAAGGCAAAAGATGGCAATTGGCATTGCATTTAGATTTTGAAGATTTCATGTGACAACAAAGCAAAAAATTGGAAGGGATTATCACAGGTGAGAGATGCGAGAAAATAAACTATTAGAATGGAACTGATGCTTGCATACAGCAAACTGAACGGCAAAACGGTGATACACAGTTGCGAATCTAATCTCAAGTTTAAGTTCTGAGGAAAGCTCACTAGAAGTTTTCCTATGAAAATATTGTTAAATACAGACAGACGTAAGCCACGTTCCGTCGGTGAGGAAGTGACTGAAGTCGAGATGCCAGGTCAGGATTGATTACATTGCAGATCCTTCACTGGGTTTTGTTAAGAAGCTAGAGTAGGAGCAACAGAGCAGATATGACAGCAATATTCAATGCACGGACGAATGGCACATTTGTTAATCTGCAGGATGGATTGTAATGAGAGAAAATGTCTAACACGAGAGAGATTTTTTTTTCCGGCATTAAACATAGTAACAGATTCAATATAATCTAAACCACTTCATGTTAGTGGAAAACGTAAGACCAAGATGGCGGAAAAGATTGATCAACTGGATCTAGAAATCAGCCATATTGAAGGCAAGTAGAAAAGGTTCTTCATAATGATTAAATGAAAGTAGTTTTACTTTGGAGGCGTACAAATTTAAACGCCATTCCTTTCTCTAGTTAACTATTGTTTTATTTTGTCTACCCTGTGCGATTGCTACTAAGACAGGAATAAATAGTGTCACCAGCATAAATTCCTGATGTGAGATAATAATATCGGTTTTAGTTTCGCCCACTAATTGCCAACAAAATTTTCCTTGTATTAAGATTTCAAAACATAAATTTATATGCTCCTTTGCGAATAATTTATTTCCGTGTCTTTAAGATTCTTTTACGCAGTGTCTCGTATGTATATGTGATTTAATAGAGGTTTGGAACGAGAAATACTAAACTCGGATTCTAGTGGAGATCCTAATGTTCCCATTCAGAAAAATACTCTTGTGAAAGGTATGACTCCCCCACAGGGTAGAATAATCCTTCCAGCCGCAACCAGTATAGGAGAAGGGAGACTCTAAATTATATACCGTTGGTGGACATCGCGAGACACATTACTGATTTTGTTCAGCTTAGCTGCAGTCTAAACAGTTTTTCTCTGTGCGTCGTGAAGAAATTCTAATCGGCCTGTGCAGACAGGAATCGAGCGGCCATTTTGAAAATAAGAAACCACACAAGTTTCTGCTCTGTCGAAACAGTTTGAAATTTTTGAAACACATAATACTCTAAAACCCTTTCCAGGTTTTCTTCTTATTCATAAGTGAACTGTTCATCCTTCAAGCTTTTTCTTCCAACTGTCCATCGGCTTATTCCCTAAATCAGCGTCGACGCAGTAATAAAAATATTTAAACGTTTGCCCTGTTCTTATTTCTTCTACTTTCTTTTCCAGCCGCCAACTTTATATACCAACGAGCTCTTCTCCGAAAGAAATCAATACTGTCGTTTCGGCTTTTAAAATTCAGCAGCTTCTCCATTTTGCTTTTTCTTTATTATTCGCCGATCATTTTCTTTCTTTCATTTTTACTCGAATTTTTATACCTTTGCTTGTTTTTGCTTTCCTATCGCACTATTTTTGGAGGAGTATTTATAGCTCCATCTTTCTTTTTATCTCTTTGCGATATACATTTTGACTTCCTCTTTTTTTTCTCTTTATTCGCTGTCATCCAGCCATATTTATCGTTGTTTCTATTACCTTTTTCTCTTTTCTTCTACCAATCATTTCTCTCACTTTTACACACACACACACACACATATATATATATATATATATATATATATATATATATATATATATATATTGGAATAATTAATGTTTTCTCTCGCTTTACACAGTTCTCTTCCTTCAGCACTTTCCCTTTCTTCTCCTAAATCCGAAAACTTTCATTCATTCGTTCTTTCTTCATTTCTTTTTTATTTCTTTCTTTCTTTCTTTCTTTCTTTCTTTCTTTCTTTCTTTCTTTCTTTCTTTTTTTTCTTCTTTCTTTCTTTTGTTTTACGACCACTTTCTTTCCGCCAACGGTTTCTCGTCTTCTTTCCTTTTGTCATCTTTATCCTCTTCCCCTCGTAAAAGTCCACATAACTTTCGACATAAACAAAGCGGATTCCGGTTGATCTTATGTCTTGGCAGAGATTTTCGTTTTCCAGGAGTGGTCTTCGAGTCCTAAACAGACGAAAAGAACAAATGGACCTTCACAAAGACATGCTGACCTACACTGATTGACTCTAGTATTTACTGCACTAGTCTTCTTCGTTTCCGCTTGCACACAATAACTTTGGACATCTCCGGAAATCAGCACACATGCCTCTCCTCGCCTTTCTCTCCCGCTATCTATCTATCTATCTATCTATCTATCTATCTATCTATCTATCTATCTATCTATCTATCTATGTCTTATTCAGTTTCTTCCAAGACTAAGCAATCACCATTCATAATTGGCGTATGTTTTTGATCGTATTATTCAAACTTTGAAATCTCATAAACGTAGCAATATGAAACAGATTTATTACGATATATATATATATTTTCATATTTTGCTATTTGGCTATCTTTTAGAGTGTCTTCTTTACAGTAGGATCTAAGTAAATAAAATCCATTTAAAGGAATCATAGAGTGCCATAACGCTTTAGCTAGACCCATAGACGCTTCCCATGATGGCGTCATATCGCTTATAAGAAGCTAAAGGCCGATAGCTGATAGGTCGCAACCGAAGTCAGTACCTTCCAACTTGTTGAATTACAGATTATATTCTGTTATTTAAAAAAAATGTATGTGGGGAAAAGCAAAGCAAGGCAAGATATTCCTAAAGGTGTTAGTAATAAAAAGCAACACTACAGAATCCGAATATGGACTCGGATTGTGACTATAGGATTTATGCTACCATCAAACTCGGCACTCGGTAGATGTTTTTTTCCGGGTATACGTTTGAAAGGAATGTGACATAAGGCCGAATTTAAAATGGGAGTGTTATGTACCTGGGACAAAGATTGCACCCTCGAAGCTTTCCTTTAAAAGACGTCCCTGACAGCGGAGATTAAATCCTGATCTCTCTCATGGTAATGTCCCTCACTGACGGACGGTTTCCTTTAGAACTGAACACAATGCAGTTCTCTCCGGAGCACCTAAAGGACAAACTTAATAACCTCCAAATTGCAGTAGGCAAGAAGCCATGCATATAGCAACCGTATGATTTCAGCTCAACTCATTAAAATTTAAATGGGAAATATGTCTTTTACCTTCCGAAAAAAATGATGCGAAACCATGCGTAAAGTGGAACTGAGTCTCCGAATTCAGTAGCTTTGGGAGGCACGGTGGAGTAATGGATAGCGGCTCGGATTGAGGAATCAGAGAGCCGAGTTCGACATTCCAGTCGAATCCATTACATTCACTTACGTGCTACTCTTCGGAAAGGTAATAATCATCTGCTTGTCTTCATCCCCCAGCTATGGGTAAATATCCGGACAGACAGGGTTCGATAGCATTGTATGGTAACTGGACCTATCTCATAAATAAATATCAACCTGCTGCAGGAAAAAAATCTGCCTCGTCAGTCATGTAACAAAAATAGGATTGCATAAGCGTAGCACGCATGACATAAAACTGAGTGAGAGTAGCGTTCACTTTCGCATAAATGTAATTGGGAAAAGACATGAAACTTTTTTCTTGCAGCTATAATTTAAATAATTGGTGAGATTGGGTGGCGTAGCCTTGGATGGCTACCAGTCTAGCAGATGGTTATATCTGTATTCAAATCAAACCGATGACGGATGGATTCCACCAGGCTTAACCCTTTCCCCGCCAATTATTTTGAAGAAAGGCGTTTCATTTTCAGACGAATTTTCTATTTGTTTTTGATATATTGACTAAGAAACTCAAGCACTTTGAATCACGCGAGCGGTGGCTAACACCTCTAATAGACGTATAAGATGGCAAGTCAACTCATTTCAGGCTCACAGGGGCATAAAAATAATCAAGATCGACGTATAAACGCGTCTGTAGCTTCTTTGTGAATGTTATGTATATATCTGTCCGGGTCTGTAGAAACACTTTCGGTAAAAAACGGTAAAAACCTCTACGACGTGGAGGGCTTAATCTTAATCTTAACAGACCAACTTATTATGTTTACAATACATGTAGTACCCTAATGCTTTCGGCATTTGCAGCATCTAAGCAAAGCTCAGAAATTCACCTTATATCAGGTCATCCCATAATTTCTGTCCGAATTTTGAATAAAGAAAACAAGTGACCAAATGTTACATTTAATTACAGATTCAATCAATAATGTATTTTTCCTGATTATCTATGACTTCCTTCCATCTATTAACAAGCTTACTAATTCCATTACTGTAAAATTCTTTTGGCTTTGATTCGAAGAACTCACAAATGTCAGTTTTAACCTCTTCCTGTGTTACAAAAGCTGTTTCTTCCAAATGATTCTGTAAGCTACGAAACAAATGGTAGTCTGAAAGAGCAAGATCGGGAGAATAAGGTGGATGAGGAATTTTCTCCCACCCAAGTTCTTCGATCTTTTGTGACGTGATTCTTGCTGTGTGTGGTCGCGCATTGTCCTGATGAAATATCACCTCTTTTCGATTCACTAGAGCATGTCTTTTTTCCTTAAAGCTTGGTTCAAACGCTCTAATTGCTGACATTATATTTGAGCATTAATTGTTGCATTAGGTGGTAAGAATTCAAGGTGGATTATTCCTTGGCAATCCCACCAGATTGAAAGAAGAAACTTTTGCCCATGAAGTTCCCTTCTCAGCTGTGGCTGGGGGTTCTTCCGCTTTACCAAGCCACTGTCTACGACGTTTAACATTTCGACAAAAGATCCATTTTTCGTCGCCAGTCACAAGTCTATTCAAAAAAGGTAAACAAGTTGGCGAGAATAGAGAGAAAAGCAGATGTCAACACGGGATATGAGGTTGTTTTCAGACAATTCATGAGGCACCCATTGTCCAAGTTTAGGAACTTTTCCAAGTTGTTGAAGATGACGATGAACAGTTGTATGGTTTGAACTGAGAACCACTGCCAATTCCTCAACTGATAAAGCAGGATTTTCTTCAAGGGCTGCTTCAAGAAGTTTTCATCAAGCTCAACTTGACGTCCGGTTCGATCTTCATCTTCAAGGGTGAAATCTCCACCTCTGAATTTTGCAAACCATCTTCTGCAAGTTCTTTCATTCACACATTCCTCTTCATAAAATGAGTGAATGTTTCTAGCCGCTTCGACTGCTGAGTTTCCTTTCTTGAACTCATAAAGCATTATGTGCCTTAAATGATTCTTGGGTACTTCCATGTTAGCAGGGTTTTAATCAAACAAAATTTAATTTTTATTGTTCTCTGAAATAAAATTTAATCAGTTGAAATGCATCTAAACATAAAAATAATGTTCATCTCCATTAGACATTATAAAATATTCTTTAAATTTCGTTCGGACAGAACTTATGGGATGACCTGATGCATATATGATAAGGAATAAACAAGTGAAATTTCTAGGAAAGAGGGCTTGGAAAATTTGCTACTCAGGGCATAAAGGAAAGAAAGATGAACGAATAGAAATAACTCATAATCTATATACAGGGCTTGAGTGGGTGGATGGCAGATCAGAGTTTGGCAGAGATGGCGAAATGACAACATTTATAAAGAGTTACAAAGGTCTGGGAAGTTGTAGAGAGACATGACCACCAAAGTCCTAGAGAGACATAGCACAGAGAAGAACATCACCATTCAGAGTACTGATATATTCTTACTTCTTCGGAATGAGAAAACTACAAAAATGAGGGCTCATCGAAACAAAAGGAAGAAATCTGGGTAGAATTGGGAAATGTTATGAGAGACAGATTATTAGAATTCCTGGCCCCTCTCATGGGATTCGTATGCTCTATGTTAGCCGTGTTTACTGGTTATTTCCTCGCGACAACATGTCTCTAATAGTCGGTGTTCATATTATCTGAAAGCAAAGTACTTATATAGTATGTTTACAATACATGTGGTACCCTAATGCTTTCGGCATTTTTCAGCATCTAAGCAAAGCTCAGAAATTCTCCTTATATATCATTCCTAAGGAATTACAAGGCAAGTGATTGTGTAGCATAACGGGTTTCGGGGTTAAATATGAAATCAGAGTAGGGAGTTAAAATTCTGACTGAATCAGTAATTGTATTGAAAAATACATGAATGATTGGAATAGTAGAGTGGACAGCGTTCCATATACATGAATGGCAATCAATGAAGAATGACAG